CCGCCCGAGAGAGATCTCAGCAAATGCCCTTGAGATACACACACACACACACACACACACACACACACACACACACACACACACACACACACACAACTCCCTCATATCTCTGTGATTCATCTACATAAGGTCAGTGGTCCTTCCCGGTTTCCTGGTGCTGGTGTGACTCTGAAGGAGCTCTGTTTAAATAAATGCTTCTGGCTGCAGAGGTCTGTAAAATCCCTGAAGCCAATGAGGGGGTGTCTAGCTTCTGTTTTGGCTGTAATAACATTGTGTGGCTGTCTTTATGAGCTATCTGCATTTCCTGATCATGTCCAAAGCCTGTCTGTTTGCAGAATGGCACATGTCTCTGGGGTGTCAAAATGGCAGTAAAAACAACTATAATACAATTTATGCCAGTGTCACAGGCATATGGACCAACGAAGGCTTTTATATGTACAAATTAATTAAGTTACTTGTATGTCTCATCTGTTTTGTTGCAAAAGATACTCATTCGGACTTTGTAATGGAGGCATTCACATGCAAATCACACTGAACCTTTGTGCATAATATATCTGCCCCGTGTGGTGAAGTTTGGAATGCCAGACGACTATAAATGGTTATTTTTTTACCATTATTATAAATGGTTATTTTTTACGTAACTTTATCTCTTATTCTATGAAGCCGCATCAAATCAGTGACACAATCTGTAGTTCACATGACCAAAGCCCTGCCCTATGTGAGGAGACGACTAATGTGAATTTCATTTCCGTTGAGAAATAACCATAATGCCCTCTGCTGACAGCTCACCATTCAACAGCTTTCAATCTCACTGACAGCACAGGCCAGCTGGGTTTGCTCTTTTCCTGATTTAGAGGAGATAGGAAGAGACAGGAGGGGCCTCATAAATAAGATGGATACACTACAAGGGACGGAAAAGCTTTTTCCATTAATGACTACTCTGACAATATAAATGCTCTGAGAGAAATAGGCTACTTGATGTCTGATTGGCCTCTAGGTCATACCGTTTTGACCTTTTGGTCAGCCATCATATGCTTTGAAGAGGATGGGCTCATCTAAAAACTTGGGCAAAAGAAAGTGTATGCCTTTGTGTGCGTGTTGCTGAGGACAGTGTGCCCCTGCTGTTCTTCCTCAGTCCCAACTGTGCTGTCACTTCCTGTGTACCTGGGACTAAACTCGCTGCCACTGTAAAACGCAGCCAAGCATTAGAGAGGCAGTTAAGCATGTGCTAATGTGTCCCAGCCAAGCAACCCAGAGAGGATCAGATTCACTGCATAATTCTATGCTCTCTTTCTAAATTTGGAAAGCTCTCTGCATGCTTCACTTACAAAAATAAAGGTAGCAAAAAGTATGCCGCATCACAAAAGTTTCAATATATTACTACAAGATATAGTCCAATGTTATGTTTATTTTTCTATATATTATTGTACTACTAAATGTTTTTAAATAAATAAAGTACTTATAAAATAGCATGGTAAAGGAATACGGCAATAACTTAATAACATGGTATATGTCAAAGTACCACAATTTTACTGTTTTATGATACCATCAATATGGAAGCCTGTTTTGCTTTATAGCAAACAATAAATAAAGTAATAGTGAGATCAATTTTAAAATAAGAATTTAAAGGGAGAGTTCACCCAAAAAAAATTAAATTCTGTCAATAATTACTCACCCTCATGTCTTTCCAAACCTGTAAGACCTTTCATCTTCGGAACACAAATGAAGATATTTCTGGTGAAATCGGAGAGCTCTCTAAACCTCCCATAGACAGCGACGGAACTACCACGTTCAAGGCCCAGAAAGGTAGCAGTTTAATTTGTGCACAAAAATATTCTCGTAGCTTCATAAAATAAAGGTTGAACCACTGATGTCACATTGGATTATTTTAACAATGTCCTTACTACCTTTATGGGTCTTGAACGTGGTAGTTGTGTTGCTGTCTATGCAGGATTAGAAAGCTCTCGGATTTCATAAAAATATCTTAATTTGTGTTCTGAATATAAACGAAGGTCTTGCGGGTTTGGAAGCAGTAAAGTCAATTTATTTTGCTTTTCTAACTATGCATGATAACATACAGTACTATCCGTGACCCAAATAAAACAGGCCTGTGACCCATTTTTGGTCCACCAGATAGGATGAAGAGTCTCTATCAGTTCTGTCTCCTTGTGTTTCTCTATAGTGAGGAGCTCCCTCTTATAGTGTGAATACAGCAATAATAGCTAAGTGAGAGAACTTACCGTCTCCTGAGGGTCTTTGGTGCCGGACCTCTGTGGAGTGGGTGAAGACACATCCTCCGTTGGCTGATCTAGTTGGTTGCAGTCCAGCTGAACAAGCCCCTGACACTCCAAATGACATGTGTAGCTGCAGTCTGGAGGCCAGAGACAAACAGGACACACACAGTCACTAACAGCCATGAAGCACACAGACAAACAGCACAATTTAGAGAGCCAACGAGGGCTGCCAACACTCTTTCACCTCCTCTAAAAGAAAAAGGCTTGAAAGGGCTGGAGGAGGACTGGGTCATGTGTTTTATTTACTGTAAATGCCTGTGTCAGCATGAGCGCAGAAGCCTTGGAGAAAATCGACTGGAGCTGGTGATGATAAACTGACAATCTGCATGTTGCAGACATCTGTCTCAGACACATGCGCTCCACAAACTAGAGACAGCAAAGACACTTCAGAATGAACAGTGACCGTGTCTCATTTACTTTAGACAGAATGTCTGGTGTGTCCTCCACATAAACATTAATTATAAGAAGGAATTCAGTAATGTGCTCGGTTAAACAGTGCCCTATTCATTCACTCTCAACTGACTTGACCCCAAGACAGATGTTTATAAAAATCAGAAGACCTTATTTCTTTTATTCAGTGCCAACTATAGCAGCTGTAACCTTTATTACATTGACATCAATTGCTCTTTTTGACATAGTTGCTGTGTGTGGTGCCATCTAGTGGATGTCGCATATAAAATACTGCTCCGTTTGCACAGGAGGAAGAGTGACTTAATGAATAACTAGACGAGTGAATCTTTTCTCTTACACTTTATTATTTCTAAAGAGATGCATTTTAATAATAAAAAAATTAAATAAATTCCTATATATAATATTTACATAAAATATAAGAATTTAATAATGTAATAATAATAATCATTTAAAATAATAAAAAAAAGTATTAAAATAATACAAATACTTTATTTTACTTGGAAAAAATATATATAAATAGAATTAAAATATACTAAAATTAAAATAAAAAAGCAACTGCTAAATGCATATACTATAAAAACATAATATTATATCATATCATATCATATAATACATATTTATATATTACTAATATATTTATATAATAATAAAATATAAAATATTCTCAATTGGGTAACAATCAGGCTTTACAAGATCAATCGCTAGATGGCGCCACTGTACCAACATCTCCAAAGGTTAACAGAGGCCAATGAAATAAGGTTATTAAAGGGCTGGAACAGACAGCTGCTGTTTAATTTTTGCCAAGAAACGTTTCATTGACACTGGGGTTCATTTTGTCCTCCCATAATTGCCCATCTAGTGAACTTTTTCCACATATTTGCTTTGGAAAGTAGCATATTTGATAAAAAGCTGATGCAAGCTGCCCTCATCATCCTAAAATTCCAATTAGCATCATAAGTGATAATAAGAGATAATAAAATGACCTCAGATCAGCACAGGGAGTAAATTCAATAGCTCAAAAGCACTCTGAGCATCTATATCCATTGCTCAGAGCCACACAGTAACCAAGGAAACGACACTCTGCACCACTGGATATTCTCCAGCACAGGCTGACCGTGATTTTATACGACATGGTGTCCTGCAGTGAGTCTGCAGTCTCATATATATTCTATAAATAGTCTGTGGCCAACAACACAAAGTGCTTTAGTGATAATGGCATCGAAATGGCTTGTTGTTTTTGCAGTCACATGATAACAAAATGACTGAGGTATCTGTCTCTACACCCAGCGAGAGTGACAGATGTCAACAGTGAATGCTGATTGATTATCAGCGGATTGATTATCAGTGCCAAACACATTGCTACTGTCATTGTGGAAGAGCAGGGAGGTGCAGATCACTCTGAAAGAAGACTGCGAATGCTACAAGCTTCTTGTACACAACGCAGATAAGTCACATGGAAAATGGATGTCACTTTCGATGGTCTATCACCACAACACCGGCAAAATATAAATCTTCAGGGGAGTGCTGAGCGCGACTATGAGAAAGAGTGTCCAAACCAAACAGAATGACTCGGGTCAGGAAATGCATTCTGGGAGGAGGTGAGGCTTCCGTCCGGTTCTGACTCTCACCTTCAACCTCAGCCTGATATCAGCAGTGCGCTTTAATGCAACACCCTGATACGTAGTAATGACTATTAAATGAAAAACCTGACACGTGCAACGGCAGTCAGGTGTCATCCTGCCAAATGGGTGCCTAACATGTGTAAAAAAATTACTTCACCAAGAAATGGACTTTTACAATGTAGACAAAAATCAGATTTTTAATTTTTTTTTACAGACTGATTAAAATATAAAAGCTAGAATCTTTTTTTTTTTTTAGATTTGATTTAACAATGTATTACTAAAATATTTAATACATTATTTTTAAAAAGTATTATTAAAAGAAGTTGTGTGTCAAACCTGTTAGCACCACTTTTCTGCTTTTGATAAACTTTTATATACCTTTAAAAAGATGTCATAATGACATCGTCATCTTTTCAAGAAGACAACCCTTCAAGGACAAGTTCTTTTTTTATCTCTTGTGAGACAATGTTGTCAACCTTCTTACCATTTGACCAATAAGCAACTGATAATAAAAAAGAAACCGTTTTAAATTCTCTTTTTAAAGAATCTTGTAGTTTCATGAGGCTTTTAATGTCAAAATAAACAGCCAGGACAACTTTCAACCACATTACCATCATTCCTGTTATCCTTCTAAGTACTGACATTTATTAATTTAGTTTGAATTTGCAGTTTATGCATAATTAAAGGGGTCATATGATGTTGCTAAAAAGAACATTATTTTGTGTATTTGGTGTAATGAAATGTGTTTATGCGGTTTAAGGTTCAAAAAACACATTATTTTCCACATACTGTACATTATTGTTTCTCCTCTATGCCCCTTTAATTGTTTTATTCTTTATTGTTTTAGAAACCTTGCATGTCCATCAGAGAAATCATTATAGCTACATATCATATCAACCCATTATAAACGAGGCATTTGTTGCATCCAGTGGGGACATAATTACGGATTATAATGACTTATACTGTCTTGTTATGCGTTGCGTTGCATCGTGCCGCGTAAACATAAAACCATGTCTGCATTTGTGATCGGAGAAATGACAAACAACAAGCGCTACTCTACACTGCTCAAAACTCGCATTTTAATCATCAGTGGCAAATCCTTCAAATATGAAAACATATTTACAGCCGGCATTGTAGTCTACTCTTCCAGGATCAGGAAACAGTCCACCATAAAATGTGCTGCACACATCTGAATATTTGGGTTGAACTGTTCTGGAACAGTGTTGTAAATACAACTTAACCACTGATTTCTAGTCGTGTCCTCTTTTGGAAGGCCAAACAAAGTAGTTTTGCTTTCACAAGGAAACACACAGCGTCTTCACAACATGGCGGCGACAGCAACAATACTACAGCGAGAATCAAAGTTACTCCTCCTTTCTTTGCGTGAACATTTGGGCGGTGTTCTTCCCAAGAATTGTTCTTTTGGCAAATCTTCCCACATCATGACATAGACATGTGGGGGCGTGTTTAAACGAGGCGTTTTAGGAGGGCGTGGATTACTCTTAAGTTTTATAAAGAATATCTCTTTGGGTTTGAGACTTTAGTCTTTGCAACTTTAGGGATCTTATCTATTCACGAACAGCTTGTAACACTCCAAAGAGAAAGGAAAACTTGAAAAATCGCATCATATGACCCCTTTAAAAGCATTAGATAGAAGTGTTTAAAATAATACACAATTTTAATTCACACTATGTATGCATCTGTTACATAGAATGACCCTCATAAAAATATGGGTCAAAGACTTGTGTTGAAGTTTAATCAGCAAGTACTGACAAACTAGAAATCAAAACACTTTGATTTCAGTAGTATCAGTTTATAGACTATTCCAGCCAAATCTAAATGTCCCAAACAAGATTGGAGGTTTACAACAGCCAAATCTTCTTTGAAACTCTTTAGATGAGGTAATTAGTGCCACAGGATGCTCCTAGAGCCCATTTCTTTATCCTTCAAACTGTGTGCTTACATATGCTCCCCTCCATCATCACATGTCCTTACTGCAGTGCGGTCTGAACCCCCTAAACCTGATTAATCTGAGGAGAGTGCCGCCAACCTTCTGGGGTTACAGACAGAAGAACTGTAAAGAGATTTAACACGGAGGATTATACAGTATGCATGATTCACCCATAATGGACCAGAAGGAATATGACTGGCAGACTGGAATGTAAAATCACTCCCAAACAAGAATCAAATTAAACTCAATAAAACATCCACATTTTCAGATTCAGTAAATTCTATTTCTCAAGTAAGTATTATTTAAACCACCATTCATACGTCTGGAAACACTTATAAAATTTGAAAAGGTTTTCTTAGTAACGGCTGCTGAAAATGAAATACACAAATCACAGATAACATGTAATTATAAAATTATTATAACTATTTATTAAATTAAATAATGTACAGTATTTGTTTTTATTGTGTGTTGATCAATTAAATGCTACATTGATAAACAGTAGAATGAATTTCTTTCACATTTTAGTGTTTCCACACTTTTTGAATTCGGTTTCATAATTTTATTTTTTTTTTGCTGTTGTTGTTATGACTTAAAGTACATCAAAGTGACATTAATGAAATAATTTAAGTTAAAACATGCTTAATGGGGGGAAAATCTAAATATGAACAATGCAATAATGAATTTTAAGAAAAAATTATCACAAAAAAAAAAACTAATTGCTTAAAAATTGAAGATGTTACTGCAAAAATGGTAAACTAAACCATAGAGACTACAAACCCGATTCCAAAAAAGTTGGGACACTGTACAAATTGTGAATAAAAACAGAATGCAATGATGTGGAAGTTTCAAATTTCAATATTTTATTCAGAATACAACATAGATGACATATCAAATGTTTAAACTGAGAAAATGTATAATTTTAAGGGAAAAATAAGTTGATTTTAAATTTCATGGCATCAACACATCTCAAAAAAGTTGGGACAAGGCCATGTTTACCACTGTGTGGCATCCCCTCTTCTTTTTATAACAGTCTGCAAACGTCTGGGGACGGAGGAGACAAGTTGCTCAAGTTTAGGAACAGAAATGTTGTCAC